GATGCTCTGCTACGCTTTTCTTGATCTGATGCGATGCAACGGGGTATAATTTTGATTGCATATAGAGTGTGTATTGCAGGCAACTCGACCCTATAGAATTTAAGGACCCGGCCTTAAATTTGCAAAAATTGCAAAACATGCAAAAATTATACTTGCGTTGCTGAGCTGCTGTTCCACTACCGTAGTCGTCCGTGTATGGAAATTTTCTTCTCCGGACTTTCCACGCTATCGGTTAGTAAATTGGCACTTTCAGCAAATCGTACAATTGACGGCGATAAGTTAATAAAATACGATAGATGGGTTGTCTGATATGGCATCACTGTATGCAACCTAATATATGCGCAGCGTTGGTCTCAGCACGCGCTTTGTCTTTTTTTAGAATTTTTCCTCAGGACTCTACCAGGCCATTAAACTAACAAGGAGGGCACCTGAATTAGCATAAATCCTGTTTCAGGGCTAAAATCAGCCTAAATCGTCTCTGCTCCCTCTTGCCCGCGTTACTTCTCTTCTCCGTTTTTTTTGCATAGCGTTTCGAGCTGACTACTTTCAATTGTAGCTGAAGTTTGATCTACGTCTGCATGGTTATTTTCTGGGGGCTTTGCCAGCAGAGCCGTTTTTTCCGTGAATCATCGGAAAATTTGCATACTCGCGTCTCTCCACGTTTCCTGCTCTCTAACCTTACAAACATGCAAATTTTGCCCCAATTTCCAAAAGACCTTTAAGGGGATCGGATCTCTCGAAAGTCGAGGCTGGCTTGGGTTAAACTCAGGACATTAAGGGAGAAGGATTCTACCCACAATGAAAATCGCCGGAATTCGCGTATGGCCTCAGTGCTTCCCGCACTTACCAATTGTGCGTATCCACGGCAGGGCACGTTTCAAAAACTTGATTTCACCGACAGCTAAATCTTTTGACGAAATCAATCGAAACCGCAGCGCAAATTGAATTTGACCATAATAAAATTTCCCTAACGCCCACAACCTTCTTTTCTGAACTTTTTCGCTTCTTAATCTACGATAATCACGCTTCGCCCTTAGGTCAGCCGTAATTATCTCTGAAAGCAGGTTGCAACACATCCCTCTTGCCTTGGGGATGGGCCAGCCGCCGGTAACCCCCAGGGTTTTGAAGATAAGATCGGAAGAAGAGGAACCGGAGTCGATCGAATGACAGCCAAAAAGGGAGAGAGAATAGGGCGCAGAGATAAAAAGAAGTTTCTTGCCTTTTCTCGAATAGATTGACGGTGACGGGGTGGGAATCCGAGAGGAAAGGTGCAGAGTAACTATCAGGCTAATTGGCCAGTTTTTATTGGAGATGCAACGTCAAAACGTGTTGCAACGTTGCTCGTTTCGTTTCGGTGTAAAAATTCTAATAAAATTTTAATTGATTTTAATAGAAAAACGCTATAAAACAATTTAGTTCAGAAGAGGAGCAGCGGGTTGCGAAAAACGAGAAGGTGACGATGTGTAAGCCTTGGCTACGGTAATCGCATCTTAATGCGTTTTTCGGGCAGAAGCGTGATAGAGAGATAGTGATCGAGAGAGCGAGAAAGAGGGAGAGAGAGAGAGAGAGAGAGAGAGAGAGAGAGAAACAGCGAGACGGACACAAAGATAAGGAGCTCGAGACTACGCTGATACCAAGCTGCTGGCAGGTAATCGAGCATGCGAAACACCTATTCACATCATCGTAGCGTCCGAATACATCGCCACAGTACAAATTATGAGAAAAAATGGTCACTACGCACTTAGCGAATCCTTCGGTAGCTAATCCTGCCCAGCAGCACCCCAACATTCCAACGTCCGCCCGGCACCTTTTTACACGCCTGACATTTTCAGTCCAAAGAGTTGCATCCGATAATGGCACACCTTTTTTGCGGTTTTTGTTGCAGGCTTGACCTGAATCGCGCGGCTGGGCGAGTTCATGATCGATGGTCAAGCGGGTAGCTGTTCGTTCTATCCTATAAGGGCGAAGGTCAGTGAATCGAGAGTGAAAGAGTGAGAGTGAGAGAGAGAGAGAGAGAGAGAGAGAGAGAGCAAGGGCGAGTTTTGGAAAGTACACGAGCGGGACTACCAACTGACGCTACCGTATTCCTGATCACCTTTCCGGTATTGCTGCGCTTCTTGGGCAAGTCTTGGAAGCAACAGTCCCGCTATAAAAGCTTATATGGAATTTCCCGAAAAATTGTAGGGTAGTTGATTAGGGAGATTTTCATGTCACGCCTTTTTACGGTAGTGACCGTATTTTTTTCCGCAGATACGAAGAGGACTTGCCTCCTCGAGGGCTAGGGTAGAATGAGATCCAAGCGATCCAGCCAACTTAGATCAACTGGTAAACCTGAACCAGGTTTGTGATTCGGCCTCGACCTTTACGTCGCAATCGGTGTTTTTCCTATTTTTTTGTGAGATTGCTTCGCGCCACTGTTCGTCAAGAAAAATCCACTGATCCACCGTCAGACACGAACGACCAGCCGAAAATATTTTCCGCCAAAAATGGTGATTTTTTGGCATTTACTCGGCTAGTGTCGGTTTGAATCTCTGTGTCTGTCTGTCTGTCTGCCAATATCTCTGTCTCGCCACCGTTTCCCTCCTGTCTATTTGTACGGCGGAAAGAATTCGCGTTCTGTTCGTGTCCTATGGAAGGGGGCGAAGAAGGGTGGATCGATCGATTTCCCCTCCACAAACTAGGCGGAGGGGACACACGGCTGCCCCGGCTGCCCCTCAACTGCCCCCCTCCACCCTCCACACACACGAATGAATCATTTCGGACAGCCATCTCCCTCTACCCTTTTCTATTGCTCCCCAGCTCTGCACCCTCTGACCCTCGTGCTCTCTCGCCATCTACCCTCTCTCACTCTCTCTATCTCTCCCCTCCCCCCAAGTAGAGCCCTCGCAATAGCTAGCCGAATCGAGGGGTCGAGCAAGTGCATCTTCTACCTGGGCAGCCCGGTCAGGTGTGAAGGTTGAAAACCAACACCTTGGACAAGTCTGTTCCAGGTGTCGAGCGTAGCTAATAATGGAGATTTTTCGGGAATCGATACGATGGATCATAAGATGATCGTGGTACGGTAATAAGCACTAATTTGGCGTTAAATTGCGTCGGGACAAGAGGGAGAAGACGCGAGAGATAGAGAGTGAGAGCTAATGAGAGAGAGCGAGTGAGAGTGAGAGAGAGAGAGAGAGAATGAGAGAGAGAGGGAGCAAGACAGCGCCCGTGTCAACAAGAAATGTGGCAGATTTCAAAAAAGATCGTAGCTCTCCAAAACCGCGAAATTCATGGAAGCCCAGGCCTTGAGGAGCACGAGATAGGCTACACTGCGCAAAATACCAGGTTATGTTTCAAAATACCATATCCGCGAAGCTACCCCGTACTGGTTCCCCCTGAAGGATTTGTGTATCCATTCCATCTCGATTCCGAGTCCATAATCGACATCTTCGGCATCGCGTTCTAGTTTGTGGAGTCGATTGCGGCCTAATGGCTCCTGTTTTTAGTCGCTGACCGTCCAGCTATATTATGATTGTAATGATTGACTGATTTAAAGAGATTTTTGCCCAAAAAACAATCCGGAGGTGGATTGCCAGCTCGAAAAAAGCACAGAAGAAAACGTTAGCCCGGAAGCCGAGCAGATGTAGTCGAGGCTTGGAGCCAGCTGGGTGCCAGCCGCCGGCCGTCTTCCGCCGCGCAAATTTCTTGTGATCGATTAATTAATATAGATTAACATAGTTCCAGGCAATCCTTCAACATTTCAAATATCCCGCAAGTTTTCCGAATACCGCGTCAATCCCAATTTGGCTGGAAGAAGCAAACGGGGTCTTCCTTAGAAAGAACCTAAATTCGGAAAATTGCTCCGAGAGATAAATGATAAGGTGAAAAAATATCCTTCTCCCTTCTGATCTTCATCATCAACTCTAACAAGCTTGAAACCAGCAAAAATTCTAGGTTTTGTATGCAAATCTGTGAAAATTCACGGGTTTTTCACTTTTAGCATATAACCCTGGATATATGCTAAAGTTAGACCCGCCTGGAAATGTTCGTCAAAATTTGGGGGTAATGTTTTTGTTCTATTATTTTTGCAGCAGAATGGCTCTATTTGTCAATTGCAAATGTCAAGCCAACCCATGTAAATCTTCAAACAAATCCATAATAATAGTTTTTACTAGAAAATTCGTGATATCCCTACACTCAGAGACAACACTTTGGGCTACCGTATCTCGCTGTAGCTATTTGTTTTAGAAAAGCGTTAAAAATTACCATTATTACGTATATCCTGTGAAATATAGGATTGCAGCAGATTTCCAATGTCGTTTCCTAGAAAATTTTTGGGCTACACTTTACATTACCCCCCAGCCGGAATGTTTTGGCTATAACTTTTTTATTTTACATTATTGTAGGCTCAAATTGAAACCCTTAGTATATTTTTCGACGCTCTATCGAATGGCATTGCAAAAATCCCGACAAAATGCGAAAATACCGAAAACTTTGAGGCCCTTCGGCTGTGGGGGAAGTAAAGTAAAGTCTTACCACGTTTTGGCCCAATTGCTTCACCGTTGACTCTGGCCAATGTGATCGCTCCATTTCGGTTTCAAGTAAAAAAATTTATTCAGAAAATCGCATCAGCACACAAATAATCGTGAAATGGGAAAATATAGAAGAAAGTTAGGTCACCCGTTTGGGGGGGATAAGATTTGTTGTTTGGAGGGCGCGGGGTTACGGTAGCTTGGTTACGGTTACGGTATGCCAAGTAACCACGATTTTCACGTATTGCGAGCTTTCAATCATATTCCTTTTTGTTTCGAAACCCTGAAATCGGGTCTGTTTTGCCGCGGCTTATCAGCTCCGTTCATTTCGCATCATCAATGGGGGGTTTCCCTGATTGGGAGGGTCGCCGTTTTTTTCATAGACTACGAGCATAAAAGCATGAAAGGCAGAAGAACAATGAAACGACTTTAAGAAAAACATACAAAAAAATCCTAGGTATCCGTGGAATGTGTATGTCATTTGCCTCAGCAACAGACACACCGGAAAAACGAGACGAAGATTGTGAGGAAGAGCTTTAGCGCGAAAATCCCGAAGACCACACTAAAAATTGGGGATTATTTATTGAGTCGGTTTTTAGAATGTCATGACTGCTAGTCTGAAGAAAATTAGTGAAAAAGAACTTACATGACCCACATGCGGAAAAACCAACAGCACGAGTACACGTCGGTTCGGCAACATCGTCGATATGTGAAGAGGGTCGTGTCTGAGCATCTGAAAACGTCGGATGACCGAAAATTCCCCAAAGTCTTCAATTTAATATCGAAAATAGCTTCTTTTGATAATGATAATAAGTGTGCAGTCATCGCAGGGCCATTACGCACCTAATGACGTATCGTAAACCTACCCTAAACCCCTCCCCTATCGAGTTATATTCTCCGGACATACCGACGGAAATTGCATGCAAATCGACACACACACACACACGCAGAAACTATTTTTTTATATATAGTAGGATTCTCCAGATTTTTTCGGGAGTAACACGCCTGGCAGGCACTGAAATCCACGAATCGTTTCGGTCTGCAGCGTTTCCAAATTTGAGATTTTACTCGAAATTCTGCTCGAGCCGCTCTACCAGCCTGTGGGGTCCGATGTTTTTGCTCGGGGGCCCTGAATCAGCCGCCAGGCTTTTTTTGCGGCGATCCGGAAAAGCGAACAAAAAATGGATGCGTAACGTTTCGGAACAGCTGCCGGAATCAATAGTCGAGCCGTAGTTCCAGCAAAGTTACAAAGCAAAGGTATCGAAAAAGCAGCTAAGATCGCTTGTGCTTTTCGGCCTTTCAGGGTTAGAGGAACATAATTTAAACTTGGGGGGCAATGCAAAAAAAAACATACTCCCTGTAGGCGCATTGTGTCCGATGGACGCTGTGCGTGTCGAAGAAATCGTCGCCCGACATGAGGTAGGGGTCATTTGGCGACAGCTCGCCCATGTTCTGCTCGTGGTCGTCGTTTTCGGCATGTTCATCTAGCGCCACCAATCCCGTCTCTGGAGCCGATTCTCCCGTCGGCGGATCGGCGATCAGAGGGATTACCCTAAATCTTGGTTTACTGGACGTTAGCTCCAAGCTATCTTGATTTTTAGGTACTGGACTGTTAGCGGGGGGTGGCTAATTTTTCACGGTAATCCTGTAAAAGCCTATAAAAATTATAAACCATTATTATAGCATTTTATACAGTTTTTAGATACAAACAGGTCATAAAAAATCTATAACAATTTTGAACAATTTTAGACTTTGTTGTTAAAAATTTTCACAATTTTGCAAATTTTCCTAAAAATGTCTAAATTTCTCGGAGAACTTTATAGCGACAAAAACTACTAAAAACAAGAAAAATAAATATTCATTATCATCAGGTGGAAAACAAAAATTGGTTCCGCCTGCTAACCCCCCCCCCTGCTAACAGGCCAGTACCATTTTGTTAGTGACCAACTTATGAAAGTTCTCCCGATAGGCTTCGGCTGATATTGTGCCTTTTTGCCCCTTTTTCAGCAGGGATGGGAGAGGTTGGGCGTATATTACCCCTTGCTAGGGGAGTGGCACGCGACACGGACCGTTACTGTATCCACACATCTCCCACAAACAGGAAGAGAACCGAGAGGGGCCATTTGGGCGAGAGAGCGCAGACACATTGATGGGAAAGAGACAAACCTGTTCAGTGGAGACGCCGAGCAGCCGGGCGCCACGCTACAAAAGAGCCCGACGACGAGTGCGAGTAGGGCGAGAGAGCGTGGCGGGCGGAGAGGGCGCCGATGGGGAGGGCCGCAGAGAGAGGGCAAGGGGCAGAGACGCAGAGGGGTCGTCTGGGTGCTCCGTGTTCGGGCCACTCTCTCATCGAGCCGGCCCTCCCCCCGGCTCGTCAGCCCACTCCGCAACAACACTCTGCAGTATACAGCCAGTCACTGCCCACCGAACTCCGCAAATGTCGACCCGCTGAAATAGGGGGGAATTCGATTTGTTTAAAAGGAAACACAAGATGGAAATCGATCCAAAAAAAAGCGGTGTATACAGGTTCTCCAAAAAACGCAACCCTCTGGCATTTGGCCATTTTACACCCGATCGGCCCCAAAATTGGACCCGAGGTGTATTAGACCCTAATTTCCCACAAGCTTGACGCACCGCATAGCTACTCTAGTTTTCGAGCTACAACCGAAACAAACTTTATTACTTGAGAGTTACTGTCGCTATGTGGTTATTTAGGTTATTGTTGATACGCATCGGGTAAAATTTTGGGACCGATTGGATGTAAGATGGGAAAATACCGGAGGGTTACTTTTTTGGATACATGGAAAAAATTCAATAATCCTGTATTAAAATATTTAAACTGCCAAGATGATTTGCGACAAATGGCAGATTAAAAAGAACAATGGAACTTGTAAAAAAAAAACAGAATAAATCAGCCTGCTACTGTATTCTGAAGTGGGTCATAAATGCTCACTCTATAGTTTCTAAATAGTTATAAAATGTTTCTAAATGGGTTACCCGAATCTAAATTTGGTTAAGTGATGCAAAAATGCTTTTTAATTCTCGGCAGCCAACGAAAATTCCCGCCAAAACGACAGAAATTATTGTTGTTCTGATTATTTTCGGGTTTTCCCGGCTACAAATTTTCCCTTTATTGTCTCCGGTTATTTGCTTACTAATACAAAATGTATTGAGCGGCGGGAGGTGAAGAAAAACAATTCGGAGAAGTCAGCAGGGCGGTTTAATCGGTTGAAGCTAACGGATTCGAGACAGGAGAGAAGCGTTTGGATTATCTTGTGCGTAAGTGGGATGAGGAAGGAAAGAGGAAACACACGTAGACAGATTGACACACACTACTCGCCGGCCAATCAACCGCATATTCATCAAAGGCAATCGGCAATCGGCGCCGCACTGGGAGAGCTTTAGCAAAAAAAAGCGGATCGGGACCGAATTAACGGGAGAATTGGCGGTGGAAAGGCGGGGTGTGTTGGGCGGTAAATAGAAGATCTGCCAGCCAATAAATAGATGAATAGAGAAGCCTCACCCCCACGAAACGGAAGATGCGTACATTGGATGGTTAGGAAATTTGACACGTCGAATTCCATGGCAATCAAGCTAATTTAAGTAACGCCATTACTGTCGACTGGAAGCGCTGTGTTCAATCGGTTTCGCGCTGTGTTTCCTCAAATAGCTTGCAAAAAAACTGCCGAAACAACCAAAACCCGAAAAATTATAATAATCGAAAAACCGGGAAATGGCAAATTGACGTTCGCCTAGATCAAACGAAAAACGTTTGTCTCGATTCATACTCACCAGCAAATTGTGGTACACCAATCAGAAAGCACGCCTTTTAACGTAATTGTAGGGTGTTGCTCAAACTTGACTTGGTTCGAGCTGGGACTTATCGGATGGATAGCTTTAATGATATGTTGGAGGACCCGGAAAAGTGATGCGAAGCGTGGGCATACGGGCCAAAAGTGAAAACGCAAAATTGTTGAAATATTGATGCTCACGCAGGGCCGTTCGTCGTTTTTTTTTGGGAATCTCGTGGGGTAAAGTCGGCTGGGGATGCGGGGAATTTGGGAGTGGTAACGTAGAAAGCTATAGCCGTAAGGTATGCTTCAATTGAAAGGCATAATAGTACAGCATAATCAGCCGCAGTGCGTGGGGGATCTGTCTGGAGACGTAACATTTTTTTTGAAGTTCAAATCTGTTTAATTTCCTTTTTCTCAGGCCAGTTAAAAAAGTACTTTGTGCGAAGCAGTCGCATTTTGCAACGCCCGACGTTTCGACGTAATTCGCTCAGATTTGGACGAAAGGGGATTGTAGGGCCAGCGGTGCAAGGGTTGACGTCAAGTACTTTGATGCGATAAATCCCAGGGCTCGCAACATTCCCACCCCCATTCCAACAAAGCCGCGCCTGGGCCAGCGGAAATATAATTAACGCTGACAGGTCGATAGGAAAATTGGAGAGACATTGGATAGATTAGAGACATTCGGCGTCAAACAGTCACTTGGCGGCAAAGGAGCAGCGAGAAATAAATAACCTATTTTGAAAAAGTGATGCCACCAGATTGAGAAAGTTTGTTTGAAGTAAGGATTTTTGCTAAAGCCTGTATAGAGTAACATGAGGGCTGTGGATAGAGCAAAACAGCAGGGCCTAGACATTCCAAAAACATGAGGGGGAAAATTAGGTGAGACATTTGAATCGGATATGTTATGCTGCAGCGCAGGAAATGAGCGGAAAGAGAGAGAGAGAGAGAGTGAGAGAGAGCGAGAGAAAGATAGAGAGAACGAGAGAAAGAGAGAGTGAGAGAGAGAGGGAGAGCGAGAGGGAGGGAGAGAGAGAGAGAGAGAGAGAGAGAGAGAGAGAGAGAGAGCGCGAGACACAGAACAAAATAATATTTCCGCTCCATCGTTGGCCAGATCCCTTATATTGTAAGAGGGGCATTGTCTCGAAGCGGTTGAATAGAATGAAAGCCGCCCAGATATGGCAATTCTCCGAATGGCTATATTCAGCACGAAAAATGGCGTAGCCCGGAAATTGAGTATTATTTACCGTTTACGACCCGCATTCGTCCATATTTCATTATTGAGGTGCGTGGGTACAAAGCACAATACAAGCCTCGGTAAATATCCATCAAGTGGAAGTTTTTTGGCGATTTATGTGATTGAAACCAGCTGATAAGCGGAGAAGGAAAACAAAAGCTTCGAGGGCATAAGCCAATGCGCGACAGAATGCATAATTAAAGGGATAGCGCAAGCAGAAATCCACGTGCTACGTGGATTCCTGGAACTTTGCCAGATTCGGCTGGTTTGCGCCCCAAACCTTCCCTTATCAGCAACTCGGCGCACTAATGTGAAGATGCGCGGCGCGCAGATTTGATAACGAGTGCCCTCAGGCTATGTATTAAACGCAAGGGGACTTTTTGGAGGTGCGAGTGCGCAACATCTGCGAAATTCCGGAAGTCCAAGCAACACTTAGATTTCTGCCTGCACTATCCCTTTAAAATAAAGTGATAAATGATGGAAGAATTTGTTGTATAAATAAGAAGTATTAAGTAATGTGAATTAGTTTAAATTTAAGTTTTTAAAGGGATGTGAAAGAGTGATGTGGGCGAAAGGAAAACTACAGAAACGGGAAGAGGCACTGGATACCAAACGACTACTAGATCATTGTTGGAAAACCCGGATGGGCGCTCCAATTCTAAAAAGTAGCTCATTTGTCGTAGTCAGGAGGATACGTAACCGATGGGATTAGAAAAGGAAGGAGGGACACGATGAGGGGGGGCGACAAAATATGAGGAAGTTGTGGCGCCTCGCCTTCCCGCCGATGGATATGACGGGCGGATTAAAAGACGACACAAGAAGGATTAGAGAAAGAGAGAAATAGGGAAAGAAAGGGCGATTCAGACAAGGGGTATCTCCTGGAAGAGGCCCATCAAAAGGGCATCCCATTGATCATTTCAAGCGGAAATTAAAATGTTATTCGTCCATCGGCGATGCGACTGTTTTTTTTGTGGAATGTTTTTGAATGGAAAGCGATGCGGTGAAGTTATTTCCGAAAAGACTTAGACTAAGAGAAGCCTAAGAGAGCAGGTTTCGCGGAATTTTATGGGATAAAAGACGTTAAAAGACGAAAACTACATTTTCTAAGAAAATTTTTAAAATCAGTCACCCCCAAATTCTGTAGAAAATGACTCACACTTTCACATACCCGTTCTCACCTAATTAGCGCCTAATTGAACCATCAGATGTGGGCATGGGGCGACAGCAATTGTCGCGGTCAGTTTTTAAATCATCAAAATTAGTCGTAGAACAGAAGCGAATTCCAGCCATAATCCGACAGCCAAAATCCCGACATTTAAAACCCCGACAGACATAACACCGACAGCCAAAATCACGACAGCTAAAATGCCGACATTCAAAATGCCGACAACCATAATCCCGACAGCCAAAATACGATATCTTCGGTCATTTTACCTATAAGTGGTTTTAAAATCGAGGGTTTTTGGTTGTCGGGATCATGGCTGTCGGGTTTTTTGAATGTTGGGATTTTGGCGGTTTCCCGCCAGATACTCCTCAGCCGCAAAATTAATTAACTATTTTAACTAGCAACTTAATAGCCTAATCGTCAACTGCGTTTTCGATAGAGAGTTTTTAATAGGCTGCCGTGGCTCGCAACATTTATCGTAACCCTGGGTAACGCGCCGCTACAAACAACGAGTGGCCGTGTATACGTTAAAACGGCCCATACGCCCCTGCGGCACTCTTTTCAGAAAATTGAATCATGGCTGGTTTGCCTGCTAGGATTCCAAAACAAGCGAGCGATATGAATGAGTCAATCGAAAACGGGGGGGCTAATCCCTGAGAAATGCGGAAGATCAATGCTTGGCTAATATATAAGCCGAATCCGATGGGGGTTTCCCCCTGCAGAGACACGGCGAAGGCAAATACTCCCTGGAAATGAGGCGGGGAAAGTGTGAATAATGAGAAAAGGAGAGTGAAGACGACTGGTAAAGAGTGGAGGGGGCAGACAGTAGAAATGAGACCTCTGCGCATAGACGAGCAGCCCCAAATAAGAAAATAGAAAAAGAAGCCGAGGATGCCCCCCCCCCACCCATCCCCTTCCGCTCCGGCTTTTCTCATTAGGGCACACGCCTCGATGGCTCTTCTTTACTTTTTTTGGGGGGTCGGGAATGGCCAGGAAGAAGCCCCGCAAAATATCCTCAACTCAACACCCGGTGACTTCCATCTGAGGACTGATGTCTGGAACGGAGGAAAGGGCAAGTCTTAGGAATTGAGGGCATTATACCGAATTTCGTTTTGCCGAATTTAATGGTGCCGACATTTTTTATTTTATATCACGCTATGTCGGGATTCGACTGTGTTGTTGTTGATTCGACCGTTGTGGAGGCAGGACAGGCTATAAAAGTCGACACAACTTCTGGATATTATGAAAATTATCTGTATTGAATTTTGGAACATTGAAATTTCGGGGTAATTTATTTCGGCGTAGTAGTTTCCTGCCTGATGAGTTAAAACTCCCCCTCTAACTCCACGCAGACTTATACCATTCGAAAGCCCTTGAAACGGCGAGTTTGCAAGAATCGTCAACGTCATGATTTCTCTACATGCGACATTTTACAATGTATTTAAAAACATTAAGGAAAGCCTCTGCATCAAATTAACGGCAATTTCCCGTCCTTTTGCTTGGATAAATTGAAGCCAATTAGCACGTATGCAACCGCCGAAAACCCGAAAAATTTTACAAAGTGGCTTGAAAAATAGCGGGTTGAAACAAAACCTAGCTTACAAGTTTGTCGCGAGGTCACCGTTCCAAGGGCTTTCGAATGATGTCACTCTCATTCCGATCCGTTACTTCTGCGTCGGGTTAGCGGGAATGTTTTTTATTGAATTAAATCAGCTGGAAAAGGGACTAAAAGCGACCGGAAATCGTGGGACTCCGACGTCTCGTAAGTACCACACCAATCTAAACTGAGACATAACCTCTCGATTTAAAAATTCATCAGTATAATGCCCTTAAATTCAACTAGTCTCTAAAAACATATAAAAACAAGTGAAAACACCGAGTCAGCCAGATCTAGAGGGTCGAGCTGTTTGTGGGAATGGGCCAGCGACTAATCCGATCCCTCTCACCACCACAAGCTACCCGCGATTAATCACGTTCCATTTTCCCAACGGCTTAATTAAAGCCAATTTGTGTGTCTGGAGGCCGGCTGACTTTCGACATCTTGTTCCGAACTTTTGACTCGAAGATACCGAGTCTGTGAGCTCATTCAAACATTAATTTGATCCGGAACAAACTTCGTTTATCGTTATACCAGCGGCTGGATCGGGCTACCCCTCCGCTTCCCCCGCCGAAACGCGCGCGACCTGGCTCACTAGGTCAAAGTCGTGAAAAATTCCGTTCCCCACTCGTTTTACTAAGAGACCACTTTCAAAGTTAAATTTAATAATTTAATTAAGTAAAACTTTTCATGATTTTTTATCAGTGTCTGGGTTTCTGACCGCGCTCTATCCGAATCCGAAGAGATGTGAGCTCTAGTTCGTTTCCCCTTCTAGTTGAAGCCGGGACGTGACAGACGGACAGACACCACAATCTTTTTTATGATAGTATATTACGTATTTCATATCGATATGTGTGTATGTTTATTTTAAGATTGTATAGTGCGTATCCTCTTGTTCTGTTCTGATTGGTGATGGCATAAAAACGTTGACTACAATTTATATATCATTAAAATTCTCTGCGTCTGGCTTTACTCTGCGTCGGTGAATGAGAGGGGCATCACAAATTCTGTGCGGTTCGACAGGCAATAAGCATAATAATCGGCGGCAAAATCGGGGTGTGAATGGGTGAAGTGAGCAGTTTCGAGGAGCAAAATACACAATAATTTAGAACGAATTCCACGCGGCATCATCACAGCAAAAAAGAAACGAGCAAAACAACATTGATAGCTTTCAGATTCGGGTCATGGGAAATGAAAATGTCTTACGCCGTTTTTCCGACGCGAAAAACAGCATGGCGACGATTGGGAGGCAATGGACTTTGCCCGGGCGGGAATGGCCTTGGTGACAACGAAATAAACATAACATAGTCTGGACATTTGGCTTTTAAAGCCGATTGAGAAGTTAGATACGGGTGACCTGCTCATCCCCTTCTTTCCCATCGACTTCACCGAGATCTTCCAACAGGTTCAGGGCCTCCTGTCGCACCTGGAATGAGTTTTTTGCATTGTGGCCCTGAAGAAACCCCCAAAATAGGTTGCGGGAACTTACATCTGCATTCCGGTCTCTCTCGGCGACCCACCAGAGTTGGGCAGCAATTCGGGCACTCTGAATAAGAAGCTGTTACATTGATTCTAGTCAATCCAGAGTGGAAGCTGAACATTAAGCGTCACTAACTCGATACCTTCAGCATTCGAAGTGCTCGAATGGCCCCTATCCGCGTTGGGATATCGTCAGCCTCGAGGAGACACAGGAAAGAGCTGAGCAGATCAGAATGTAGCCGACCAACCGAGCTGCACAGGTACCGCTCTAAAACCGCCGGAATTTTGCGTTGGTTTTGTGGGGAACTTACCGATCGTCGGCAGCAAAATGGAGTCGTTGTGGTGGAGCAGTAACGCGATATGGCGCAGGGTATCGATTGGAGGCGCGATTGGCACCTGGACCAAACGCTCGAATACCGTCTTGACATTACGGAGCTGCCGCGTGCTCAGCAGAGAGATCATCCATGCTGAAAACACAGGGTTGGCCAGAGGATAACGAGAGCCAGTAGTAGGCAGTCCAAAGACCTACCATCATGCGCGAGGCTCTCGACGTAAGCGGAGAAATTCTTATTCCGGAATACGGCAACAAAGTGGAAGACAGTGATTTGAGCGGGTTGGGCTGAAGCTGAAGGCCCGTCGATCAACAATCTTCCGAGACATTCCGTCACTCGTGCCACCAGATGCGGGTATGCTGGCTCGACGATTGGCGAGACGTGGGCGCGAAGCTGAAAATATGCTTGTTAGAAGCAACCAAGGTATTCGGCCAAAATTATCAATATTTTGCTGTGTTTTGACACACCTGACTCCGCAATTCCTCAAAAGGTACGACCAGCGAAGCATGAAGCGGGTAGCACGCCGACAGCCACGCCTCCTGGATCACCCCCTCGGCGCCTAATTCACACAGCACTGAAAACGATTGGCTGATTTGTAGAGCATTCAGCCTATACCGTTGGTGATGTTGGGGAGGGCAGGTAGGGATGGCGTCAGTCGCAACAGGTCATCCAGAGCCACCGTATCCGCTTCGATTTTGCGTAATAATTCGGTGCCTTTGAAGAGGAGTGGTCCGGAGAGGGTCGAAAGGCCCTAAAATGTGGATTTTAGATAAATTCAGCGGAGGTCACAGGACGGCAAGCGGTGGGTCTTACAAGGAGTGTTTTTTCGCGTCATCGGCAAACCCTTCGCGACCTAGCTCATTCGATAGAGAATTGAATTCTGAACAATATGCCTTTGTTCATTTCTGCGGAATAGCCGTCTCCGACTTCATAAAATTAAAAAAACTAGTGCCGTCTCTTACCATGAATGCCCTTTGAGCGAAAAGAGACGCTTGCGGAAGCAGTTTTAAAATTGTATAAAATCAGGCATAGCCATTCCGCAACAAAGACAACGGAGTCTTGTTCAGAATCAAATTGTCTATCGAATGAGCTAGGTCTCGTAAAGTTTTGCCGATGACTCATAAAAGCCCTCCTTGTTATACAACTTTCTCACCTTCAACGAATTCCTTATCCTTGTCAAATGGTGCACAAGACAGGCATCAACCTCATGATGTCCGGTGGCCCTAAAATAAAAGTCAATCATTCCGAAATCCATCAATAAACGGACGTTTCATGCTTGACCGGGTGGTGCTCGTCCTGCCAGAATCGATCCGAATCGAGGCACATCCGTTCCAGCTCGCTCGCATCCAGCATGGCTCCCAGCGACTTTCTGCGGTCTCGCATCTAGAGATGGCGTCATTTACCGTAATATATGGAGAGAAGAATGATTGCGAGAATTTGGTATCCGGCAAATACCTGGCCAAATCTGTTGCCATTTGCCCGTCCAGTACTATCGTCGGGCCCACGTCTGGTATAGGGGGAAATCTGCTGACGCAGCGAATCGACGCCAGAGTCATTTTCGGAACTGGAATTGATATAGATTAATAGAGACCATTGCTCGATACGCATACCCGTGCTCTGCTAACAATACGTTATCATCGATCTCATCTCCACGCGCAAATGTTGATCGACGCAGCGAAGCGCCACCGCTCGACGACGAATGCTGCAATCGTTATGTTAGGTATCGTGCCGACATACAGGGTGCCCCAAAAAATCACCCCTTCGGCATTTCGCCGTATTACAGCTGATCGGTCCCAAAATTGGAGTGGACGTAGATCAGACCGTAAATAACCAGAATTCTGAGTTATATCTCCGCAGCTACAGTAACTTTCGAGATACAACAAAAATAAACCTTGTAGTGCGTTTTTCATAGGGTTTTCGTCAAATTCGACCCTTAGAATATTAAGTGAAGATGATGCGGAAAGGCTACTTTACCCCGAGAAATTTTTTTCCTGACGAAAATTTCACTTTTAATGCTTATTTAAAGGTTTTTTGCAAGCAAAACTCGACCCGGACCGTAAGCGAAATGAGCGATTCCGAGCCGGAAGTCAATGAAAATCAATGCAAAGTCCAAAAAAGCCGAAAAACTGTTAAAAATTGCATAGAAAACAGTATTTAGGCTATAACTCGAGAACCGCGGTAGCGATCGGTCTATAACTGAGGATTGTGGTTATTTAGGGTCTGATACACCCCTCTTCCAATTTTGGGACCAATCGGATGTAATACGGCGAAATGCCGTAGGGGTGCTTGTTTTGGGACACCATGTATTTTGCTTATCCGATGGCATTAAACAAGATTAAGATACCCGGACCTACCCTGAGCAATCGGCTCCAGTGTGCCAGAATCTGATGTGTTGTGTGTAGTTCTCGATGCCGTTCATGTGATAATGAGGCAGCAAGCGGGAGACACTCATCAAGAAGGTCAACAAGCACTGAGCCCACGGAGGAGATGGAGACGACGTCCGAGGAGGAGGTAGCCGAAGAGCACGACGAAATCCCAGCCGAGCCACCGGCGCACGCTCTAGAGTTTGTTGGTAATAGATATGGATTCTGAAACGAAGCGGTGGCTATTACAACTCACCGTCCCCGTAGCGAATCTGGGCTATCTTGGGCTGGGGCTGCCAAATTCGTCTTGGAAGTAGATGCAACAAATGGTGTGGAGACGTCCGGAGATGAGGATGAGACGACAAGCATCGACATTCGATGACCAGGGGTGGACATCTGGAAGAAAAAAATACACAAAATTTGCAGGAAATGAAATTCAGCCCACTTTCGTGAGAAGAACAATTCCAAGCAGCACCACTTACCGCCTCGATGGTGGGAATATTCTTCGACAGATCATGGTATATCGAGTCGAGTAGGTTTGTGGACGATCTCCACTGTTCCCTCGCCGCCACCCGGGCTGCCCCTCCGCGCTTCTTTTCTCTGAAATTGTACTTTCAGAAACTAAGCAGTAAAAAATTGTGTTAACGTCTGAGAGCTGGGAAACTCGTGCTTAAAGGGGCTCCGAAATCTGATCCACGGCCTCCTGCGTAGATTCCTGGCAAATAACCAGATGCGACCGCAACGCGACCGTGCTACATGAACTTTTGCCCTTGTTTGAGCGTGAAAACGCTTTAATTTTAAAATTCTGACGTTCTTTCTGGAATCCTCACCGAATTTTGATCACTCTAGACTTTTTAAATATGAAAATTGATCAGAGAATAGCCAAGGTCGAGATATTGGGTACCTTACAACGCATTACGACATGTAATCGCCGCGCGCTCGAAATGTCGTTTTCGACCCAAAAATCTTTTTGGTTTTACTCAAATACTTTGCGTTTGTTTTCACCACGGAACCACTTTTCTGGTAATTCTCGGCAGTGACGCTTTCGTTTTATGATCAGTGGGTTCACTCCCCCACACGCACGAATTTTGGCCTTCCGAGCCCCTTTAACCCTCCGAAGCTGCTGATTTTTAGCATTTTAGGTGCCTTTTAAAGAACTGTCGAAAATCTCAAACCTCAAAATGACGCGTGGCTTTTTCGTTTCATCAGCCTGATCTCCATTGGCAGCGATGGTGCCGGTCCTACTGATTGCCGGTTGTAGCGTGTTTTTTGAGGCGAGCAGGGGACTAAAATTGCTTTTCAAAAAGTCTATTAATTCGCCCCACATCCAGGTGACGATCATTTGCAGCTTGATTGTGCCGAGTGTGTTCAGGGAGATGGTCACCATTTGGGGGGCCGAGGAGAACAGCTCGCACGGGTCAAACGATCGCTCGGCCAGCACTTTCGTCTTGAACACGCGCACTTCGCATACCTGAGCGGATTTTGGGGGTTAAAGAACGGTTGAAGTCAAACGGGGGCACCTTGACATCGACGGTACTCGAGGGTTGACACTCGAAAGACATCACTTCGCGGTCCCATTTTTGGCTTCGATCGGCCAGGGTCTTGCCGCGAGCCTGGAGCAGGGATAAGGGATTAAACTTGCTTTCGGTATTTTTCTGTCTACACTTTACTTTATCACCGCCCCAGCCGGAATGTTTTGGCTATAACTTTTTGATTTTACATTATTGTAGGCTCGAATTAAAACATTCAGTGTATTTTTCGACGCTCTATCGAATGGCGTGGCAAAAATCCCGACAAAATTAGCGAAAATACCGAAAACTTTGACACCCTTCGGCTGTGGGGGGGAGGGGTAAAGTAAAGTCTTACCTTTTTTTCTTTTTAATGTCTCGATATGCTCACCTTCCACTTTGTTGCGCCATGCCGAATGTTGACCTCAAAGACATCACCCGGCACCACACGAGCAAAACCGGCAATCGCTGAAAATCGGGGGTTTTTCAAGAGGGTAAAAAGCAGGAAGTACGTTATGGTGTTCAATGGTCCATTTAATAAACAAAAAACGCTCTTACTTTTTAATTCAACCGAGACTCTACCCATCATGGCGGCCAGCTCGCCGTGAATGGCCACAGTCGGGGCTGAGGCCGACGATGAACGGCCGGAAAGAGCGGCGCGAAGGTCCGAAAGGGACGACGATTTTGCTAAAAATCATCACTTGCAATTAGATAGGCATATTTCAGGACGATGCGAACCCCTCCACCGTATACCCGTCAAAAGAATTGGTATTAAAACCCTTTTTGAGCTCAGGTATCACTGGAAATCTTAATAAAAATGGAGCATGAATGGGAGCAAAAAATCGAGCTTTTTTGAGCTTTGAAAATATAAATAAAAAACGAGCATGGAGCAGAAAAATCGCGGACGGCCCGTGTGATTAGAGCCAGAGTGCGGAATGTCTAGTAGTCCGTGTAGCGGGCACGACCGGAAAGTACCCTCAAAAAGTATGTCAACGGCTCGAGGGGGTATTCAGAAAGGAGGGAATGGAGGGAAGAGATAGCGAGAGATGTGACAAGTGATGATTCGAGAAGAATAGGGGAAAGCAAGGGGGGCGAAGGGTGCCGACCTCGGGTGCCCCACAAAAAATGCCCCTTGACATTTGCGACCGTCTTTAGAGGAGTTTCGTTTTATGAACATAGGCAGTCAGACCGTGCTAATATTTTCCACTATAAAAAGAACAACGGGGTGCCTCAAAAATACGATACTCTTGGCATTTCACCGTTTTACGCCCAGCTTAATCGATCCCAAAATTGGGCCAGTGGGGTATCAGACCCTATACAACAGTAATCCAGAGTTACAGCTGGGTCGATACAGTAGTATATAAGAAAAATGGGTAAGACTCCAGATAACAGCCGGCCCCCAACTTTTGTATCCCGGATCCCGGTTCATCTACAGGTGTGTAAAATGTTCGCCTTGCTCTGGCGAGTATTTTGGTATACTTTACACACCTGTAGATGAACAGGGAGCCTAGATACAAAGGTTGGGGGCCGGCTGGGCGGGGGTATCTGGAGTTCAGCCGTATTTAGGGTCAACACACCTTTAGTCAAATCTTAGGACATGCAAGACGGCCAAATGGCGAGGGGGATTTTTTTGGAACAACCTCTATAAGAGTGCTTCGAAGCAGCCGAACCTAGAAAAGCAAACAAGATATAGGGAGTCGTTCGAAAATGCTCGCTAACCACCCACCATTCCTTCCATTTCCGCAAATCCAATTATTAGCTAATTGATTAGTAAAGAGGAAGTTGCGCGTGTCGGGTGGGAAGAAGCTGCCCATTTGTGGCGGGGCGCTCACCCGGCTTTCGGCCACCACCCGACGCCCCCCCGTTCCACACGGCTTTTTGTGCCCCACGCGGGGACAGTGCTTTTTGCGAGTGGCTTGTGGGGCCCAATTGGGACTGTTAGGCCCGAGAGAGAGAGACAGAGAGAGAGACCCGTTTTGCGCCCAGCTCCGGCAAACAGTCCACGCGACGCCTAATTCCGCCCTCAGGGGAAGGAGTGGACACAAAACGGCTGAAGAAGCAGCCATGGTCATCAACAGCCCCCCCCCCCCCCCAAAAAAAAAGGGCCATCGGGGAAATGCGGGGAATTTTTGAGAGTTGGCCGTCGCCCAAGGCTATGGACGAGAGCGAATTATTGGGTGAGATTTGGTGGACATGCTTATTTTCGGTACTATCCTACAACATTACAAATTTAACAAAGTAACCACAAAAAGCGAAAGCCGGGGCACGCATGGCACTTTTTGAGGCAGAAATCCTGTAGTGTGAAGCCGCCCCGGAGGCTAAAATTACTGTGATGTTCGAGCTGCGCGGTACAGCAACAACCGGTCTCCATCTGCCCTCTTCTTCCCTTCTACATTCCGCGAGTATACAAGCAACGGGGGTGCCGAGGGGCGCCATCTTCCCATCAGATCCTGCCCCCGGCTGTCTGTTTCCTTAAGTCAGAAACCATCGGCCGCACGCCTACGATAATGCACTCTGATGTGCAGAAACAACTGCAGGCGGCGACGTGGTGATGTTGGTGTCGAAAAGTGAAGGAAATTGCTAGCCAGAACGTGTAACTACAGGCTGTTCCAAACGCCCTCCCCCCACCTAACGGTTCGCTGTCGAGTCCGATTTTCACCGTTTAGGTATCTATGGAAAGCTCTCAAAAAGGCGAGAAAACAAGGAGGGTTAATTTTCTTTATTATGTGTTTTTATTTGCCAATTTTACGTCCAAAAACCATGAAAACTGCTGACTTATGCGAGATCTGCATGCTATTTTTAAAAAACCTTAAATATCATGCAATGCTATTTAATTTTAGAAAACGAGACCCGCTTGTGTTCTCGCCTTTTCGAAGCTTTCGATAGATACCTAAATCGTAAAAATCCGACTCTACTGCGGCCCGCTCGGTAGGGGTTTTTTTGGGACACCCTGTATGAGATATCCGGAATTAATGAAAGGAAAAACTACGCCGGTATGGAATTGTTCAGGAAACATTTCAAAAGCGAAAACGAAGTGAAAACAGTACAGCTCACCAGGGTTTTTTGTGCTGCGCGGCCCCCGAGGGAGGACAGCGAAAAACGGGGTGATTTGCATAGGATTACGAGGGGGGTGTTGTGTCGGGTTGTACAGAGGACTCGAAGGGAAAAGGAGGGTATTGTATGGCAAAGGGGACGACGGATAGAACGAATCGGAAGAACCGAAGGATTTCAAGGATCGCTGCGCAGAAAAAAAGGATAACGCCCGTTTGAATGGAGGTAAGGAGAGCCGGAAATGAGTTAAAATTTCACGAGGGTAACGAGGAGCGCGATTTTATGTATTTCTAAACAAGCTTTTTGCATGGAGTAATCAATTCCACTCAAAAGCTAACCTTTCATCGAAGCAAAATGACCCTGGCGATAGCGGTCCTGAAGCCGGGTGAGACGATGGAGGTGCCCTTCGTAGAGTTGGATATTTTCCTCCACCACCATCAGATCCTAGGAATTGAACTGTGTTATGATTTTCAGAGTCTAATAACCAAGCTTTTACAGCCTAACATAAGCAAAGAGCCTAGACAAAAATCCGCACCGTACCTGCTCAATTCTGGTTGCCATCATCGGGTCGCTTGAAGCCTCGAGGTCGGCTCGAAGGCGGTCTCGTTCGTTGGCATAGAAATTGATGTAGGAGCTAAAACATAGGGGATTTTAGGTTTAGAATATATTTAACTATGGCCAAACTTTACTTTACCCCTCCCCAGCCGAAATGTTTTGGCTAGAACTTTTTTTTATTTTACATTATTGTAGGCTCAAATTAAAACTCTTAGTACATTTTTCGACGTTCTATCAAATGGCGTCGCAAAAATCCCGACAAAATAAGCGAAATGTCGAAAACTTTGAGAGCTTTCGGCTGCGGGGGGATAAAGTAAAGCCATACCCCAACTATGCTTGTATTTAACTTACCGGAATCCCTGTGAGAGGGCGTCGAAGATCTGATCGCTTCGCGGTTTTTTCGACGGTTCATGGCCGGTCGGCAGGGGATTGACCGAGGCCATCACCCGGCTCATCGTCTCCGCTGTCGACGAGGAGCACGACGGGATTCGAGGCTGAAATTTATGAATATTATTATTACAATTAACGTTTGCTCAAAGTCCAGTGAAAATTTGGATTTTGTAACGAAATACATATCAACTACCCGGCCAAAATATACAATCAACTCGTCAGGAACGTCTCCAGGAATTTTTTTGGGGTGAATCAGTGTGTTTTGTATGTGTAGATGTTGTGCCACGGAATGAGCGGCTCGCGCGGAACGGCAAACAATTTCATCAGCGCTGACCGGCGGAAGAGAAATTCTCGAAGTTCGACGCTTCCCGCCGCCGATTTTATCAGTGGACGAGAAAATGGACTACATATCTCGGGGGGTTTGTTACAACGATCCGCTGCTCGGTAACATTGCAAAAACAGATAAATTTCGATCCAAGTGACACTGTCGCTTTCGACCAAAAATGAAGGATTCTGGGCTGTTACCGGGGGCGGTAGTCATTTCGCGGAGACCATTTTGTCCCTCACGTGTCCAAATATCCTAGCTTGATAGCCCGCTTTTAAGCATACAAAATGCATATAAAAACGACATAAAAATTATTAAAAAATTTGAAAATTTGTATTATGGCAAAAAATGCGTTGTTCTAAAAAATTCGTTGTGCTATTAGGGCAAATAAATAAGGCTTATCTTCATTGTGTCAAATTTTCATTTTGTCGAAATTTCAATTTGTCGAAATTTCAATGCCGTTTCGCCTCGATCATTCATCTCAAAATTTCGTATTTTGAAATTTAGGCAAAATGATATTTCGAAAAAATGCAATTCCCACAAAGTGTTTTTCGACAAACTGATAGAAAATCGATAAAAATAGCCCCCCCCCCCGCTAACAGCCCAGAGTCAATGTAGCCGCGGGTTCACCCGGGGTGCGAACACATTTACGCGCCGACGTCTTTTGGGAGTGTAGTGGAGGTGTTCTTGTTAGGAGATTATCCACTACCGGCCTTGGCCTGCACGCCGAGGTGCGGATTAAAGGGACCGGCAAGGGAGGGCAATTCCTCGACCCCCGCAAGCAACCGGTTGATTGCACTTCGGGACCTGGGGGGAGAGGAAATAGTAAGCTTTAAAGAGCGGTTGAAATCAAGGACCGCTTGATTTCAATGGATTTTAGTAAGACCAATTCGAGAAATGAACCGCGAGCACACAAAAGTCAGCTGTGGGGCACAGACACCCACGCATTGAATCACTATGCAAAGTTCGGGGGGACCATGTGGGGTCGCTTCTATGCCCAAGCTTAGGTTTGAGCTTTAGGCTTAGGCTTATGCTTAGCTCCTGGCTTTGGCTTAGGCTTAGGCTTAGGTTAGGCTTCGGCTTAGGCTTTGGCTTAGCTTTGCTGATCACTCGGATAAACGCGTAGAGCACAGCAAAATCTCTTTTTGAGACTCATTTGACAAGCAGAGATTTTAGGCAGAAATTTGCTGGTTTCTACACAAAAAATCGAAATCGGCTAATTTTTTGAGAATTAAAAGGTAAATTTGAGTCTAGACGATGTGTCTTTTAAAATATCAGGTTGGAAAGAAAGTAATGGCACAAAATCTTTAAACCGCTGTAAATACCCGCAGGAACGTCCGATTTGAAAGTTTGATATATGGTTTGGTAGATCTTCGGATGCTCTATCACGAGACAACCCTGAAAAAACCCCAAAAACTAATGTACGCTAAAATACCGGCCTCAGAAGTTTCGCAGAAAGTTAGGTGAAAGCTTCTAAGCGAGATATCTCTGCATACAGGTGTTTGCATACGATACCTTTAACACCAATTGATAGCCCTCGTGGAGTAGATATCGATAGATGTTGAGATCATTAAAATCGGACACTGGATGGCCGAGATCTGGGCCTTCCAAAATCAATGCATTTTCTGGATTTTGGTTCGGGACCTGTAGGAAACGCAGCCGTTTTTGGCTCGCGCAGGCCTAAATGTATGGGATTTCGAGAAAAGTTCTAACAGGTGGACCAAAATTCTAGGGGCCATATCTCGGTCATCCAGTGTCCGATTTTAATGATCTCAACATCTATCGATATCTACTCCTCGAGGGCTATCAATTGGTGTTAAAGGTATCGTATGCAAACACCTGTATGCAGAGATATCTCGCTTAGAAGCTTTCACCTAACTTTCTGCGAAACTTCTGAGGCCGGTATTTTAGCGTACATTAGTTTTTGGGGTTTTTTCAGGGTTGTCTCGTGATAGAGCATCCGAAGATCTACCAAACCATATATCAAACTTTCAAATCGGACGTTCCTACGGGGTTTGACAGCGGTTCAAAGATTTTGTGCCATTACTTTCTTTCCAACCTGATAAAAGCAGCATCTAGTGGCAAAACACGCGGTACGTTACGTCACCGAACTAAGAACGTGGGCTATCGATGGCATTTCGGTTCCGTTGGGTGGCCGATCGGGATGGGGCTAATGCGCATTATTGCTTCACCCCCTAAGAGGTGCTGTGCGGGTGGCAAATTGGCGGTCTCACTCCTCATCAACAGTTCGAAGTGGCAAAATTTTCGATCAAATCTTTCAACGCTTTATTGAGTAATATACTAAAAGGCTGCACTTTACTTTACCCCCCTCAGCCGGAAGTTTTTGGCTGTAACTTTTTTATTTTACATTATTGTAAGCTCGAATTAAAATTCTTAGTATATTTTTTGACGCTCTATCGAGTGGCGTTGCAAAGATCTCGACAAAATAGGCTGAAATACCGAAACCTTGAGATCCCTTGGCTGCCGGGGGGTACAGTAAAGTCTTACCGATTAAAATTCTAGCTAGCCTTTCAAAGCTGTCGCTTCAGCAGAAACGAAGCGAAATTTCAATAAGAGGCTGGATGCTGATGAGCGCCGGCTTTTAACCAGAGTTACTGCGCAATAGCGTTGGGTGTGGCTGGGTGGTGAAAGGTCACTTCAACAAGTATCTGTTTCCAAAATACCCGATGTAATCTCGGGCACAACAAGGAAGGGTGCGGCGCGGTGCGCACGTTTTTTTTAAGTTTCCTTGAGGCGAAAATGGGAGCCTAGAAAGTTGGGAAGGGCAAGCGCAAGAAATGGGGGGAGAAGTGATGGTTTCTTGTGTGTGGCGTGCGGGGGATGTAATGAATACCCCCCACGGGGTTGACGACAAAACCGACAAGGTCACTCTCGGTCTCCAGCTGGGGGGCTGGCCGAGGAGTTGCCCGGAATTCCGAAGGGCAACCCTTTACAGGGCCTCTAGAGGTGTAGAGGAAGATAGCGGTAATTTTTGGAAGCCGAAATCATAGATTTTAGAGATGTTTGAGTGGTTATAAAAAGGCAAACTAGCTCTAAAGAAACTGCTTTAAGCCAGGAAGTAACCAGCGTGCTGTATCTCGTATACATTCCCAAACACCACAGAAATTGGCATACAGTACGTCGTTGGATCGGAGGTGATGATCCGAATGGCCCCGCGGCGATAAAATAATACTGGACGTACGAGGGGGATGATTCACAAGTCAGCACTTGTCTTTTGCTGCCCGTCTCTCTCTCACTCCCTCTTTCTCTCTCTCTCTCTCTCTCTCTCTCTATCTCTCTCTTTCTCTCTCTCTTTTTCTCTCGCTGGGCTCTGAATGTTGTTCGGCAGCTTTTGTATGATTTCGCGGGAGGGGCAGACGGGGCGCTCGGGCCGAGAGATTGGAATGGATTCTTGGCAGCAAGGAAAAACAGTTTCACGCCCATAAATCAATCCTTACATTGTGTCGAAAGGCTTTTTTTAAAAAGTGTAAAATGTCTAAAATCTGAGCTAAATTGCTGGGAAGACCCTTCCTAATTTTCTAAAAAATTCTAGCTCATCAGGACAAATCGACGTTAAAGGCTATCTCAAGCCTTGGCCTCCGAGAACTGCAATCACAAAAAAGCGCGTGTGACAAGCGCATCTTTAGCTAAACATTGGGCCTTTTTGCGGGCCCGTTTGTCACAGTTTTCTCAGCCTACCTGGCGCGTGTTTGCCGGCCAAATATTCCCCAACAATACACAGGAACAGATAAAAATTTGGTGAGAAAAGGAAAAGCCATAATACACGCGTTATCGTTCTGCTTGGCCGGAGGAACACGGAAGATGTCGGAAACGTCAAGGGTGGCCATTTTTGGGGAAGTATTACATGGTTACTTACGTTTTTAGTGTAGTCGGGGTTTTTTGGGATCAAGCCTATCTTGTGCACAATTTTACAAACTTGCCTAATCGCTATTTTCGGGGCGCTACGGACGAAATACGGCCTAGGAACGCCCAAAATGAGCCGCTTTCTACGGTTTTCCTGACTTAAATAGCTCATAAATGTTGTAAAATCAAGAATTTGGAAAATTTGGCAGCCAGATTCAAAATCAGCGTAAAATTTTGCACAAAAGAGGCCTGGTCATAGTTCGAAACTCCATCGACACTAAAAACGTCTCGTTGTGAGATCGAAATGGGGGAATGCAAATGCAGCCCCCGGAACGCGCATCTCCGGCCATTGGAAATGGCCGTGACTCCTGGCAACAGGTGTCCGAAGCGCACGCAGCAGGAAAGCCATGGAAAACCGCAAAAAAGGGCCAATCCAGAGTAGCGACGCGGAAAAACGGGGCGAGGGGCTATGTGCTTCCTTCACTCACGCGTATCACACACGAACGACAAATTTGCATAAACCGAGTGCGACGTTCCGGAGTTCCATTTTGGGTGGCAAAATTTTTAGAGGGTTTTGAATGGGAGTAATATAAAAGATTTGGGGGTTTCTATTTACTGGCATGCAGGAAAGAGAAAAGAGGTTTTGAAGGTAAATTGCCCGGGTAACCCGATATACGGTTCCGGAGGACAGAGGAATATATTCAACCTAGCTAAAAAGGCTCAATTTAAATTTGTCTTCAAAAATGGCCCATATATAGATGCTTGAATATGCAAAAATATCATTAATTTAGCTTGTACATAAAAATCTCGGCCAAAATGTTTTTTGGAATTTCACAAAACAGAAAAATGACTGGGAAAAATAGAGGTGTTTTCGTGTTAAATCACGAAAATGCAGAAAATTTTGTGAGTGTAGTAGAAAATTGCAAAAAAAACGTCAAAGGAACGCATTGGTCAAAAGTAAAGGTAAAAGCGTTGCAACACGAGGGCTTTCCGACGGAATAACCAGCTTACACACTGCCCACTCGGCTCCGTTTTCGCTCCCCCTCTAAAATGTGCTAATTTGCCTCTTGCAGCGTCTGTGCCTCTTTCTCTGTCTGTGTGTATTGCGATGCAGTGTTGTGTGTCTGTCTGTTTGTGTGTGTGTGTATTGGGCAGAGGAGGAGGAGGAGGAGGAGAGATAGAAGACACACACACACACTCAAAACGCAAATTTCAGCCGATTCTTGTGGGAGCCGTTTGTTTGTCGAAAGGACTGTGCAACTTCTCCATGCAGCCCTGGGGGCAGAGGAGAAGCCGTTCGTTGCATGGGCCATTTGCGAAACCAAAAGGATGGGCTTGAGCTTAGGTATAGGAGAAAAAAGAATTAGCTTCCCAGGCTTAAAGGTACATTCCGCTCTCATTCTAAAACCCTGGTCGGCGACGGGAATTTGGCACTCTGGCGGCCGGCCGCAGGCACCCTTCATTACCCCTCGCCCCTCTCTCCTTCCCGGTCCTACCCATAGCCGAGTGGTCTATGGCGCTTATCCCAGGCCGAGTGGTCCGGGTTCGGTTTCGCCCGACGTTTAGCAGCTACTAAATCATCAACAGGAGCGGAATGTCCCTTTAAAAAAAGATTCTTGCCCCGGTTTTGCTTGTTTTTGCCATAGCTACTTTTTTCTACGTTTTTGGATTGAAAATAAAACTCCTGGTATATTTTTTGCCGTTTTATGGAATGGCGCTTATCGAATTTTGTTAAAATAGCATAAAAAAATTGGAACCGGCCTTGCCCTCCATACTCCTAGAGTGGAAACCGCGTTCAAATCTTGTTTTTTCTGTACAGGTTTTATATTCCATTAATTTAGCCTGAAATTAAAAGCCTTAGTCTAGTTTTCAAGGCTCTCTCGAATGGCGGCGGGAAAAGTTGGGGAAAATAGCGAAAATCGCGACATGAGACCTTCGGGTTAGGGCATGGGGTCGCCGTAAACCGTAGTCGAAAATTGCGCGTCTTGAATTACGGGGATAGTGAAATTTCGAGGTAATGACATTTTACTGTCACGATTTCCGCGGCAGGGGTGATGCATAGCCTTTGGTCCGATTGGTAGGTTATATAAAAATTAAGAAGACTGATATTATGACAGAGTTCAAAATTTTAAACATATGCGATGGGGCCAAGGTGGTTGACCAGCTGGTTGGTGGTTATGATGAGATGAGATGGTGGGAGTGTTGTCGTGTAGATGTTTGTCTGCTTATTTGCTTGGATCTCCCTCTCTTGCTCACAGACCGCAAATACAAATACCCGCCGGCAAGATGGTATAGAAAGAGTAGAAGGGATGCCGTCATGTGTGGGATACCTGGGCCAAATCAATCGATCGGCTGACCCATATGGGGAAAGGCCCCAAAATGAATACGCAACACATCCAGGGGACAGGTGAGATTTGGAGCGAGAGAGAGAGAGAGAGAGAGAGAGAGAGAGAGAGAAGAACGGAGATAAATACCGACCAGCTGCCAAAACTCTACTGAGGCTTGCACGCCCCTATATTGAGGCCTTACAGATTATGGTACGGATAGGAAGAGGGAGTACAAGACACAACTCACCCGTACGGCATCTGAAGGCATTGTGCTGTAGCCGTCGTGGATCTGGGGTGGGGGTCCGTTTTTGCGGAAAACACGCTCGCGGGGTTCCAGGGTGGAGAAGCGCCTAAAATGTGGTTCAACAGGGTCCGGAAGGTAGGTTAGGTTTGCAAGGAAAGGTTGTTTAGTGTCGTCGGGGTTTAAGGTTGAGACCAAGCTTTTCTTGTGCTGAATTTTATGCTGATTACGAAGATACTAGCGAAATTTGAAAGATTGCGATTTGTCGAAGGTTTTGAACTATTTAATTCTGGAAAACCATTGAAATTGGCGGGATTTTGTGCGTTTCTCTGTTTTAACTCGTCCATAACTTTCGGATAATCGCAATTTCACACATTTGGTCAGCTAAGACGTGGTTCCTAAAAGACATTACCGCTCGTCAAACATTGCTCCAACCGGAACCTTGGCCTTTCGGCTCAGGCTGGCAGCCGTGTAGTCTGGGTGCACCCTAAATTGGTGTATTTTCAATTTGTCCTTTCTCCTACCTGATGGCACCCTCATCCACACTCTTCTGCTGGCCCAATACGCCGCGGGTAACGCCTGAAAGATACGGTAATGGAGCGCCAGATCGCCACGCTCACTTGTGTCCCGTTTAGCGGGCGCGTAATCATTCGACGACTGGGAGGAGTTGGCGGAATTTGACGAGAAGCCCTCGTCTACCGCCACTTCTTGGGCCCTAAACGAAATTGGGTTTAGTTGCGTACAAAATGGTGTACAGGGTGTCGCAAAAACGACCCATCTGGCATTTCGCCGCCTTCCATCCAATCGGTCCCAAAATTCGGCGCGAGGTGTATAAGACCCAAAACAACTACAATCCTGACTGACAGCCCGATACTGTTCTTCCCGGAATTGTAAACAGCTTTTTCGGCTATGTTTTTGGACTTTGCATCGATTTGCAACGACTTCCGGCTGAGAATCCCTAATTTCGCTTAATAACAGGGGTGACTTTAGGTTACGTAAATTGTTGAAATCAACGGTTATTTGATTAATTTTATCAAAAAAAATTTCTAGGCATAAAGAAGGCTTGCCGTTTCATTTTCACTTAATATTTAAAGGGTCGATTCCGACAAAAACCTTATGAAAAACGGATAATAAAGTTTATTTTTGTTGTATTTCGAAAATTACTGTAGCTGGCGGCTATAAGTCAGGATTGTTGTTATTTATGTTATGATACAGCTCTGGTCCAATTTTGGGACCGATTCGATGCAACACGGCCAAATGCCAGATGGGTCGTTTTTTTGGGACACCCTGTATAATAATAGTCAATGCTCTTACTTTTGCAAATAGAAATTGCGGGGCAACGTGGCGGTGTCCATCCTTCCCTTCGGCTGCGCGTAAATCGGGGCCGACTCTATCGCATTTGAGGGCTGCAAAAAATGGATAAATTCACGGTGGGGACAGTTTTTTAATGGAAACGAAGCTAGATACTAGGGCAGGGGATAGAGGCGCAATTTCAAGAAAAACGCACGGCTTCAAGGCGGTATCCCGCGGAACTTTTTAAGGGGGACAGGATGGACGGGATGTGTTGACGGACATCCCGAAGGAATAGCGCGCAAAGCGGCCGGATTCGGGCAGAACATACGGAATTCCCGCATCTTGAGGGCCCCTCTTTCGCGTCGCGGGCCCCCAGATCTGGTCCGAAAATGGGGCGGCAGCCGTTTTTGAGCAGCTTTTCGGAGATTTAAAGGGGTTGGTTATGATAGAGGAAAACGCCTTCTATTTATGGTGCGTTTCCGAATAGACGACAGGATTTTAAAAAAATTTAGGCCGACTACGTCCAAATTGTATGTCAATTCGCAGCTAGGTATTACGCTGCTGGCAACTGGGGACAAGAGGTTAAAAATTTAATTTTGGAAAAGACGCAAAAATCAACTTTTTTTGAGATTAAAAATTTGTCGAATTTGTCAAAATGTTAATTCGAAATTCGATCATCAAAATCAGAATTGAATGGTTTTGGATACTGCCATCGAGTTGCCAATAGCATAATTGGCCTAGATAATTTCCACAAAATCTGGATTTATCAATTTAGAATCACAACCGATCTCCCGACCAAAAATCATCTTCGCCGCTACTGTAAATTCGGAGATAGAAATCGGCGCAATTAAAAGGTGATCTCAAAATCCCGCGGAAAAAATCGACGAAATGAACGTTCAGCATTCCAAATTACGTCTGCCGCCAGTCCGCGGGGGGGCTGTTTGGCGTGAAGCGGGGAGGGTTTGCCCGAAAGGCCCTCCTTGCATCCGGCGAATGGTTGGAAGCACGGGGAAGATGGTGGACCGACAGAAAAACAGACACGCGCGCGCCGACATACACACCCGAAAGGGGGGCAGGATGGCAGCTAGCTGTGGACGGCGCGCGCACACACAAACATTTCGTGTCCGAGGGAAGAAGCAAGGCGGGAGGGGACACCAATGGACCGAGTGTTGCCCTAAAAGGGACAAACCGCCATTCCCTCAACGCACGAATCGAGTGACTGGAAGCTAGGCAGGGGATTGGGCTTAGGCTCAGGCTTGGGCTTCGGATTGAGCTAACTAGGGAAGTGCAAATAAAAAACCCAGCAAACCGCTTAGCAAAAATATGGGTCTGATAGACTCGGCGACGGGGATTCCGAAACTGCAATCAGAATTTGCTAAACGCTTAATACAAAATAGTTATGAGCATTTTAAGTTTTGCACTACATTTTCCGCCCTCCCAGAATGTTACTAGTAATAGCCCGAAATCCCTAATGTTTAGCCATTAAAGGCAAAAAAAAAATCGAAAAATGAAAATCAGTTCTGCCGGCTAGAGTTCCTACACCTGACCATCTGCAAAAAATGAAAAATTTTACAAGAATAATTTTCTGACCACCTAACGTCGACAACTGGCATAAAATTTAGAAGTACTTTAGCACGTATGATTTTGGACTTGTACAAAAATCTCTGACCAAAAAGCAAAAACAAAAAAATTGTAAGCGGATTCGAACCCTCGTTCGAATCCTATCAAGCGAGTCGCTTACCACTCGGCCATTCAACTGGTGATTCCATAGTGATGGGAGAGCCTCATAAACCATCCTTCCATGCAAATTTTTTTGCATGTAAATCAGCATTTTCCGGAAGTGCTGTATCTCTGTCCACAGGTCTATTTAGAAAAATCTGACAAGCGCATCGTGATCGCAATGGTCGATTACCTAGGGGTAGCCGCGAGCGTTTTCCGAAATTCCACCATGTCTCCGTGAGGTTCCCTTGTTAGGTCTAGGCTCAGGCTCAGGCTTAGGCTTACAAGGGAAGTGCACGACCGGCCCACGAGAAATCGACACGAGACATAGTGGATCTGATAGAATCGGACACGGGGATTCCAAATCTGTAATCAGAATTTGCTAAATAAAACGGAGAAAAAAGTTATGAAGCTTCAAAGTTGGTAAAATCGCCCAAAATCGGACTTTTATGGGCCTGTAAAGGCCCAGGGGATGGAAATTTGCCACAACCCATTAGTGCATTTTGTTCAGCAAAAAAAGCGCTTTCGAATGAGCTATCTTACTTCAAGTTTACGATGATTTCGCGAAAATCTCTTCTATGAACTTGACAGGCCATGCCCTTGCCCGTGAATCCAAAAACACTTTTTTCAGTGAATTGTTTGCAACTGCTACGTATTACAGCTCATTCGAAAGCGCTTTTTCTGCTGAACAAGATGCACTAATTCTTTTCTCCTCAATTCCGTTCCCCCGGTTCCTTAAAGGTACCGTTTTTGGCGATTTGGCCAACTTTGATGCTTCATAACTTTTTTTCTCCGTTTTATTTAGCAGATTCTGATTACAGATTCGGAATCCCCGTGTCCGATTCTATCAGATCCACTATGTCTCGTTTCGATTTCTCGTGGGCCGGTCGTGCACTTCCCTTGTTAGCCTTTTAGACTTAGGCCTGGGCTTAATCCTAGCTTCTTTTTTGCTTAGATTCAGGCAACGCACAGTTTCCGCTTATGCTTACAAGCTTGTTAGCTTCGACCTGGATGCTGATTAAGATCAGTTTTAGCCCGAAATAACTCTGGATGTGGAGCCTGAAAGCTGTTATTTACGACCGTAAATAACTTCGCCCAAAACAGCCAACCAGGCTGTGAATAACAAATTAGCGGAACGATTCCTCTAGCGGCGCCGCCGGGCAGTCAACAATTTGTGAAATGCCTGCATTAATCGACGCTATTAATTCTTGCGCTTCAAAAAAAATCGAAAAATTGGGAGGATTTTAAATTCTGAGGAGGAATGTGGAAGCGGAATTTGAAAAGCGAAACAAAGGCTGCGCGGCACTGTGGTGATGTGTCATCGGGTCGTTACGACACCGAAAACCCATCACCATTTGGAATAGCAACCGCGGCTCAAAAGTGGATGAGGCCGGGGGAAAGTCTAACCGTGGAACAGGCCGGGAAAGAATTTTTCGAAGTCCCTGACTAGCAGAGACCATTTGGGACCATTTCGGAGCAGATTTACCGACATAATGCCGAATTTTCCGGGAACGAAATCCTGATAACACCAAATTATGTGTTTTATTATTAGTCTTAAAGGATCTTGGCTTACCGTCAAAATGGGTATGACTTTACTCCCCACCCCCACAGCCGAAGGTCTCGAGGTTTTCGGTATTTTCGGTGATTTTGTCGGGATTTTTGCAACGTCATTCGATAGAGCGTCGAAAGATATACTAAGAATTTTAATTAGAGCCGACAATAATGTAAAATAGAAAAGTTATAGCCAAATCACGGCTTTTGAAAATAACCGGTTGAGCAGGGTAATGGTAAAAGTGTAAGTCGAATAATATGTATAGCTGCAGGGCAACAGCCAGGAGATGATATGTTCGACAGCCCGAAAAGCCGATAATAGCTGTGTGGTTGGGGGGTGGGCGATGCGAAGATTATTCCCCCCGCTTACAGGCCATCATCACACGGCTTCTCCCCTGCCCTCCCTTCCTCCAGCCAACGAGGGTCATTTGCATACCGTCAGTGGGGGAGAACGAGAGAGAGAGAGAGAGAGAGAGAGAGAGAGAGACAGAGGGAGAGAGAGAGAAAGAGAGCGGGCAACAGCATACACTTTGGTCATTCCTTTGAGTGGACACTCTCTAGCCCCCCCCCCAAGAAGAGCCACTTCACGACTCCTTTTGCATATGCCAGTTGGGGCAAAAAGATATGCAAATTACTTTATCGCTAGAGGCTGGAAAGTGTTGTAATGCCGACATTTTTATTATAAGGAATCTTCATACGTGTTATCAAAATTCGCCATATAAAATCCGGTATTATGACATTTCGGTAAGACCCCGCAGCCGAAGAGTCTCAAACTTTTCGGTATTTTCGCTTATTTTGTCGGGATTTTTGCAATGCCATTCGATAAAGCGTCGAAAAATATACTACGAGTTTTAATTTGAGCCTACAGTACTGCAAATAAAAAAGTTATAGCCAAAAACTTCCGGGGGGGGTAAAGTAAATCGTAGCCCATACTTGGGCTTCTGGGGAAACCACATCCACGCCGTAGCATCGCCTAAAAACCCACTGGTGGCCAAATGACGGTAAGTCGAGGCATCCGATTCGGCGTAAAGTAGCGTGCTTCGCGTTAATTTGAGACAATTGTAGGGAAGCGATGAATGAGGCGACCCGTGAAAAAATAGCCCGAGGCAACGGAGGCCCGCGGCGACGCCAAGTGATTCAGGATAGGACCGGGCCGTGGAATGAGTCAGTTTTTGGGGGGTATTGTGCCCATACTTGCTATCTCTAACCCTCCCGTTTCCCCCACTTTCTCGCCGAACATTCCCTTACGGCATCTGTATCAACTGATTAGCGCCCAATTCTGAGTCACGGTCGCCGCCGGACCAACAATACTAACGACAGCCTAGAATGTGATAAAAAGGTGGGCGGGGGTGTGAAAAGGCAATCACCGTATTTACATGCCGTAATCAGTTATACTAAAAAAAACCCAAAATGTTTTAAAACCTGGGCGGGCCTGTGAAAAACAGGAACGGTATTGGTAAGACTTTACTTTACCTCCACCCCAGCCGAAGGGTCTCAAAGTTTTCGGTATTTTCGTTTGGTTCATCGGGATTTTTGCAACGGCATTCGATAAAGCGTCGAAAAATATACTAAGGGTTTCAATTTGAGCCTACAATAAGGTAAAATAAAAAAGTTATAGCCAAAACATTCCGGCTGGGGGGGGGCAAAGTAAAGTGTAGCCACGAGATTTAATGGCGTAATCAGATATACTCGCAACAGCCCAAACAGCGCTAAAAAGTAGGCGGAGCGCGAGAAAAAGCAGAAACCATATTTTCATGCCGTAACCAAATGTACTCACCCGTTGTGGCCCGGGTCTTCTCGCCGAGTCGGGCGGTTGAAAGGATACCTCAACGGTTGGGCGGCTGAAAAATGTTACCATTGATTTGCTATTAGGTATCAATTTGAACACTTTAAAACATTAAAAACCAATTAGCGCTCGACAAGTGTAGCCTACCGTAATCTCGGGCCCTGATTAGGGGGACGATAGGGAGGGGGGCTGCGTGGCGGGATTGACCTGAAATTATACGATAAGTAAGAGCTTACGGGACCGCAGAAACGTTGCATTGAAAAATCATATATGCCTCGGTAATTGGTTCGGAGGAGCACCACGTAGACGGGGAAGGAGAAGGCTGGTGGGAGAGCCCTGAAATTGCATTTTGAGTGGTAACGGGAGGAAGTGCGGGTGAGATATCTTTGAAAACCGACGTGCAGTTGATGCTGGTAATCGGTTCGATTTCGTTGTAGGTTCTGTGGTTGGTGGGAGCCGGGTTGACGTCGGTCGTGTTCCGGAGTGCCTAAGATGGGTCATTTAAGTGGAAGCTCAGGTTATCTTAGTTGAATGCGAATGCCTTGATCGGCTGGTATTGGAGCCAGAGAGAGAGAGGGAGAGAAGGAGAGAAAGAGAGAGAGAAATATAGAGAAAGAGAGAGAGAGAGAGAGAGAGAGAGAGAGAGAAAGAGATCGAGTGAAAGAGAGAGAGCGAGAGAGAGAGCGAGTGAGAGCGAGAGATATGGAGAAAGACAGAGATAGAGAGGGAAATTCCCCAGAATCTTAACCCATAAAATACCCCATTCTAATAGATATCTTCTTGAAAAAGTCTAGATAAACAAAGGAGGCGCCTTTTTCCAAGGGCTGCTGGTTGTGTCGAGAATGGAAACTGACATGAGGCCGATCCTTTCAAGGTTGATTGGATGGGGGAGTGGTAGAGGGGGAGAATGGATAGAAAACGACTCGCAAAAGACAGACGAACAGTCGAAGGTCACGTTTTTATAGCCTCCGAAGTGATGATAGGAATCGAATGGAAATGGAATGGGTAGCGGAGAGTCGCTTTCATTGCGAATCATCTCGTTACTTGAGGTATAATTGGCCGGTTTTTATACAGTTTCACTGTATAAATGGGGTTCTATTCGATTACGCAGTGGAAATATGTATCTGTGCGTTAGGTATCAGTTATAACCGAAATGAACCCTGGTGCATCTTTTGCATTATCGGTAGGGGCATCCCCGATGGATTTAAATATACATATAGGAAGGGTTTCTACTGTTTTTAATGTTTTTCAAAGCAGAGGTTTTGATATATTTTTATTAAAAATACAAAACATGGATTTTTCAACCAAAAGCGGCCCGTTTTTCATCTGAGCTATAGTTAAATTCCGCTAAAGACTTTATTGAAATACGTACCTTAGGCTTCTTACATTACTTTACACTTACATTTACATTGAATTTCTGTACTTTTGCCGTTCCTCCCCCCCGATAATGCGAAAGCACCCTCCGGCCTGCCAGCTTCACCTCAAAAAGTCTACCCAAAAAAATCACGCCAAGGCCGGTGTTTCGTTGTATTGAAAGGAAATGGTTTGGTCAAACAAGGGGGCCATAAAACGGGGTGACCTGGCCAGGATGGCAAGCCATCCACGAAAGGCCAGCGTGGGATTCTGATCGCTACGCAGCGAAATGGGGCGGTATTTGATTTTCGCATCCAGACTTCCCTATTTAATACATTCTAAGTATTAGCATAAATATTCAAAGGGGTGGTCAATTGTGGATTCACTTGAAAAAATGAGTGATTTCACGAACTAGTTAAAATTCTTCACCAAAATGTCCCAGCCCCAGGTTTTGCCGTTTCGTCACCAAACCAGAATTCGAAGTGAATCCCATATCCGAAAAAATACTAAGCTGAATTTAAGTGGAAATCCTTCCACACCAGATTGGTGGAAAAAGCGAGGGGCTGAAGCGCGAGGGCCGAGCAAGACATGGTTGAAAATCGGGCAGATCTACGGGCTCAGATCCGGGCTGTCGATAGGACATTCTCGTACACACAACCCACACACACAGTGTCTCTCACCCCAGCCGTTTCCCCATATATATTTTTTGGCATGCGGATGGGGAAATATGGGGGAGGCGCATAGGCTTGTATGCTGGCATAGGCTAGGACTTTTGGACTTAGGCATCGGATTGGGCATCGGTCTAGGCATGGGCTTAGGCACGGCAGAGGCTTAGGCTTAGGCTTCGGCTTAGGCATCGGCTTCGGCATCGGCTAGGCTTAGGCTTGGGCTTAGGCCGCGTCTTAAGCTTAGGGCAGGCTAGGGATTGGGCTTAGGCTTAGGCTTGGGCTTAGCAAAGTTTTAGTTTAGTTTTTTGAAATTTCGAGAAACCAGACACAATTCAAGCAATTGACGCTTTATTCCCGAAAACAAGACAGGTCGGATCCCGGAATTCTCCCCCAAAAATCAGTTTCCTTGTGATAGTTAATGATAACGATTGAGAGAGAAACTCCACTTTTCCACCCGACAACAATGACAGGAGAGCGGCGCATATTGGTAATGGACAACAGCGACCGATCGGTCCGCCAATATTTAAGAAGTGGAAGGTTCCGAAAGATAAGAAAAGTCGCATTACAGATAAACCGCGGCAAAATACCGACATTTTTGAACAAAGAAAAAATATGCAAAAAAATTACCTTGATTCAGCTCCTTGAACTGCTTCGCGTCCCAGTGCTGCAGCCGCGGCAGTTGGGGGCGATTTTGGGAGGCGCTGCAATTTACGGTATTAATTAGGGTATCTAGTTTTTTCCATTTTAAAATGTTTTTCTTTTCACCTTTTCTTATTGTAATACCGCCGAAAGCCGTAGTTCGTCGCGTATATGGCGGCCACGTCCATTTTTGTCTTGGGAAGCAAGAGGTTGGGGCAAATCTTGAAGGCAAAAGCGCGCTCTCTTGAAAAGCCAGAAATTGCGCGAAATTTAATGGAATGGAAAGGCGTAAGTTTCGAGAAAGTATATGGGGGAGAAAGTGAATGAGCCCCATGACGCCCTGAAGGGGGAATGGGCTGAACGGGTAGAGAACGGGGGGGGTCTGATCACTTTCTAACAGCCGTTTCGCTTAAATCGGGGGTTTGGAAGTGAACGGAGGAATGTGGGATACCAAATATCACTTTAAAATCGTCGGTCAGCCGTGGTTGCTATTCTAATGGTGGCAAAGGTGGTGGTGGTGTCTGATCCCGAGGCCCCCAGCCTAAAGATCGCAAAATTTTCGATATTTACCCCGTTTATCGGTTTTTTTAACATCATCAGCTAGAGCATCGAAAAATATACTACGGGCTTTCGTAGCAACTAAATATCTTTTTAAACAAGTTATGGCAAAAAATCAATTATAGCCAACAATATTGTTATATGAATTAATTGTAGCATGGAAATAAAAATCACTCTCGAGATTTGTTTATTAATGTTAGTTTTAGATATTTTATCTATTTTTTTGAACAAGTTAAAAACATCATCCAATAGAGCATCGAATAGAAATTAAGTGTTTTCAAATTAAGCTCAAATTAATGTAATATAAAATAATTATAGCACAAAAACCAGGGTCAACGTTTACGACGTTTTAGTCATTTTCGATATTCAGCTAAAAAGCAATCAGTTTTGGTCAGTCAGAAATCAATATCCAGCGTGAACCATACACGGAAATGCTTTGCATACGAGGCGTTTGGTGGAGGGTTGACCATGAGAGTGATGACCATTCCACCCGAACCACTGCCTCTACTCGATACCGTTGATTATACCCCCACCCAACCCGGGGGCATCCCATTGATTTGAGGAGGGCAGACTGGAAACAGTGTCCGGCCATAGAGAGTGGCTGCCCCACCCGGATTTATGCCAAATTGCCCCCAGGCCAGCGCACTGGTCCGTAGCCCCCCGCGGGGGCACAATTTTGCGGGGCATCAGGTCGTGCCGCAAGCGTCATAGAAAATATGGATGACCGTATCGGGGTGAGCGGCCTTTGGATTCTGGTAAATTGGCTGGAAAATCTGATGTAAATGTTGCTAGGCCGCCTCCGTTTCACGGCAGCTAGGGCCCGAATGGGTTAATTTTTCGATACCAAGTTCTTCTGCGTATCGTAAGGAGCCAGAAAAAAGATTGGAAGCCTTAAAAATAAAGCCAATAAAATAGGTTTAGCACGGTTTTCAAGACAAGTTTTTGGTTGAGACGCATCAAATTTTGGTAGGAGAGAGAATGAGAGAGAGAGAGAGAGGGAAAGAAAGTATGCGAGAGAGAGAGAGAGAGATTGAGTGAGAGAGAGCAATAGTGAGAGAGCGAGCAAGCGAGTGAGCGAGAGAGATAGAGATAGAGAGAGAGAGGGCGCGAGAGAGAGTGAGATAGAGAGAAAGAAAGAATTAGTGAGAGGGTGAGATGTCGATAGCAAAAGCGGTACAGTTAATGAGGTGTTTGATTAAATATTCTGGCAATAGTTCTACAGTAACCCATCCCAAACTATCCTATTAAAGGGCCCTCTGCTGGATGTGTTGTTAGCATGTGAATGAATGTTCGGCTGGAGGTGAGGGAATGAGGAATGGAGAGATGTTTGCCCTTGGGGCATACGCGATCGCCTTATCAACGGGGGACATCTTCTGCTAGAGGCTGGTATTGGCCATGACATGAGAGATTTAGAGAGAGAGAGAGTGAGGGTGAGAGAGAGTGAGAGTGAGAGAGACAGAGAGAAGCTTCTCTTATACCATAATTCCCCCACTAACCCTGTATCCCCCCGTCCCATTTCTATCTGCATTCATCCGCCGTCATTGACGGCGCGGGCTAGAAGGCCTGCAGGCGGCCCAAAATTGTTTGCCGCGGCTGTAAATGGCTGTTTGCCGGGGCAAGGCCGCCCTGCGCTGAGAACCGAACCATCGCCCCTCGAGCGTTTGGGAACAAGCGAAAAATTCTGCGCAAGAGAGGCCATTTTTTCTGTATCGGATCGGGACCAAATTTTTACCAGCGATGGGGGACCCAAAAAACATGTGCAGCCGAATTTTCTAGCCAAAATCTTCTATAACAAAAAATTTATATCAAAAGTAAGCGCGGTTTTGCCGATTTCACGAGGATTTTGATGGATTTCGGCCTCGAAATGTTTAGCAAAAATAAAGAAGGCTCTTTTTTCCACTCGGTGTAATTTTTGATTTACGAAAATGACGTCAAAATTGGGACGTTTAATTACTTTTTATTATCAAAGTTGACAGAAGCCGACCAGAAAATGACTATTTTGGCATTTTGCTCAAAATCGGCATGCTAATTGCGAAAAAATTATCAAAAATGAGGACCAGCGATTCCAAAAAAAAAATCCATTTTTAGCGATAACTTTTTTTACACAATTTTGCCTAGAAAATTCGGCTGCAAATAGTTTTAATGAGTCCCCAACGCGGGTAAAAATTTGGTTCCGATCCGACGGAAAACGGCTAAATGCCAAAGGGGGGGGTTTCGGACCCCTGTAGGAAATGGCAACATGAAGTTATACTCCCGATCTATATGTTCCATTTCGATAGTGATGTTATTGTGCTGTGTGGCCTATCCATAACCAATCGAGGCTGGCTCTGTCTGTCTGTCTGTCTGTCTGTCTGCCTGTCTGTTTGTCTGTCTGTCTGACTGTCTATCTGTCCGTCCGTCTATCCCGTCCATTTTTATTAAATAATACCTGGGCGGTCGATGGGCGGGCGGTGGGAGCACATTCTGCGGTCGTCGATAGGTGAACATTTGTGGTTGAGAGCTGCAAAATATTGATGCTCATTTTTATATACCGTGGCACGAGCTAAAACAACAGTTCTTCAAAGGAGACGTCAAATAAAAATTCAAATTAAATTTCAGGTACTTTCGCATTATGGGGGGGGGGGGAGGGTTCTCACAAAAAAAAGTTGAGTTGTCAGGGGAGCTCAACTTCTTAGGGTCAATTTCAAGTGCAAAAAAGTTTACAAATTCTATCTTTTTAAGAAAACAACGTTTCGAATTTGTCCCTTTAGATTTTCTAGCTGATTTTTCCTCGTCAAATATATATATATATAGTTAAATTTTACTGAAACAGTATTAAATATTTACTATTACGTTCCTGGGTATTTCTGGTATGGTAAGAAAAAAGTAGGTTCCGCTGGGTACTCCCCCCCCGATAATGCAAAAGCACCGGCTTCTAAACATATACCGAAAGTTTTTCCATGACTAATTATTATTGCCGTTGCCTGGGTTGAGATGAATGATAGCGTTTGTATACATTACGCTGGAAGCGCTGACGGCTTGCAAAGGAATTGAAATACAGAGTGTCCCAATAAAGAAACACCCCCTTTAACTCGACGCAGAAGTAGCGGATCGGGATGATAGTGATACCACTACCAACATTTTGCAACAATCTTCAAAACTATGTTTCTATTTGAACACGCAACTTTACAATCTCTTTTGTAAAATTTTACGGGTTTCAGTGTGGCATACGAGCTAATTTACCTCAATTTAATTGATTCAAACAAACTGACCGGAAGTAGCCGTTAATTAGATGCGGGGGCAATTTCTTATGTTTTTAAATGCGTTGTAAAAGGACGCATTCAAATAAAAACATGGTTTTGATGATTGTTGCAACCTCGCCGTTTTCAGGGTTTTCGATTGGTGTAACGATTGTTACGATCCGATACTTCTGCATCGAGTTAGAGGGAGGTGTTTTTTTATTGGGACACTCTGTAATCTTCTTTAGCTTAATCACAAATACTGGCGAGTTCAAGTAGTTTGAGTTTGAATTGAGCGGTCTCAGACAATTGAAGAATCTTGTATAACGCATAACTCCAAAATACAAAGGGCTAAAAGAGAACTATGCCCGTATAAGGCCTGGCAAAAGCCGGATGGACATCCACGAGACCCGCAGTAGAGTGACGTGGCCTATTTGTTTAAAGCGCACAAAAAATTGGGCCGAGAGTCATAGAGAATGGGGGGATCGGATGGAATGAAAAGGTAGCAGACAGCATTGCGGCCAAAAAATGGCCTGGTAACGTTATGCCGAAGATCCATAATACCGAAATTCATTACCCCCAAAAACCGTTTAGGAGGCAGTCCAAAAGTGGTGGTAAGATGTTATGAGGCGCCCCGCGTAAGCTACTTGATTTTAGCTTAAGCCCAGGCTAAACTTAGCTTTAACTATGCCTAGCTTCGGCTTAGGCTTAAGCTTAAGCCCAAGCTTAGCTTATCTTAAGCTTTCAATTGGCTTACGAGGTCAAAATGTGATCATTTAGTTCTTAGCTAAGTCGTTAGCTTGTTAGAGTTAAGCCTGGCTTGGTTCAAGCTAAGCTTAGGCTTTGTTAGTATGAAGTTAACCCTAGGCTTAGGCTTAGGCTTGCTTAGCTTTTCCAGAGGATTAGAGTTTAAAAAACGACGTTTGGAGCGTCTTTTAGTCAAAATCCGGACTGCCCCCCCTCCAAGTGCATTAGCACCCATTGCAGACCTCGCTTAATTTTCCTCATATCGAAAAATTTGGTCAGTTCCCTGAGCTTTTATGACACCGGAACTTATTAAAGGGGCCAAGAAGTCAAAATTCGAGAGTTCGAGAATCTAAAAATTAATTTTGTTGTGAAAAACGCTAAATCTTAGAGAGAAAAACGAAATATAACATAAAACGCATACGAAACAAAAGGTTACAAAAGATGGTGTGCGCCCCGTGACGAGACATGTTCCCACCGTTCGCGATGGGAACCGATCGACCCGCGGCACGGAGGGGGAGACATTTTTTGGAATATATGGGACGATGGTCGAAGAAAAAAATATTTATCGCTACGATATGTCAACAAAGACCGTGGCCGTGGAATTTGCGATACATCTTGAAAAAATTACTGGGAGAATCGTAGGTTGAAGCTTGAAACTCTCCTTA